TTGAAATTTATACTTTTTATAGCTTTGTTGTAATTAAATATTGATGTCATAGACTACAATGCGCCGTATCTAGAATCTCTCAAATTTCCCGTTCCTCTATCTGGTTTAGCCACAAAACAAAAATAAATTGATATATCTATTTTCATCATACTGCGCGAGCTGTTAATTATAATTTTAGTTGATAATTTGCATTGTGCGGTAAAGTTTTTTAGTCGGAGTAAAAAAAAATACTTTTAAGAGATGTGACTGTTAATATGTATTGAGAGATAATAAAAGAAGGCATATGCCCCGCAGTGGGATGCATACCTTCGCTTTCTGCTGACTAATGTTTTTAAATAAAATTTGTTAATTATAGTTATTGAAACTTAATGATACATAAGGGATGTCACAGTTAATCCTAACACGAAGTGGTTATTTTGATGTGTTTTAAAAAATGTTTTTAAATATTTATAAATTATCTTGCACTTTGTCGTTTATAATTGCAATGATATCATGGTCGTAGTAGGCATATATAATACATTAATAAAACATTTAGCTTTAAAACCCATAACAAATATAAAGAAATGGTTCTAGAGTCCTGAACAATCAGGTTCTTTTTTTTTTCTATTCTCCTGCAAAGTCTTTCTCAATTCACTGCATCATATAAACCTATTCAGCAAAGCGGCAGATTAACTGTATACACAAAACTTGGCACGCAGGTTGGTGAGGGTAAATATTTTACCCTCGCATTGATGATGCATTGATTATAACTAGACCGTTGTATTTGGGTTTGCCATTTACGGGTAAGATTTACAATTGGCTCAGGACCGTTGTGTGTTGTTTTGTGAAATTCCTTGGGCAAGTCCTATGTACAGTAGTAGACTTGTGATGATAATGACATTTGAATAACGCAAATCCAAAGGATATTAATAATAACTGATAACTTATAATTGTACATTTTAGAATCAGTCTTTTCTTGTTTACCAAGAAACTGACATATTGCACAAACAAGTGCGATAAGTAATATAAGAAGAAAATGTGTTCCTATTCAACATCACAAGCGAACTGTAACTTAATAATTCAAAGTCATAAATGTTCACGCAGGCGTTAAGACCGGGTGCTAACTGATCTAGTTTGAACTTTAGTTAAAGCAGGTGGCGCAAAGCACAGTCTTGTTGGCATAAGTAATGAAACTATTGTCAATTGTCGATCATATTTTTTCTGTTCTATTAATAAATGCAGATATTTTGGAGATCTTTTTGTTTTAAATTAAATTCGTGGGCAATAAGACAGCGTAATTTTCAAATTTGCTATTTATATAATTAATAATCTTTTTTTTTAAACCATTGATAAATGTCTTTACAGTCCATCTGATTGTAATTGGTTCCTACTGCAGTCAATGGACACTTGTAGCCAACTTTATACCAGGAATGCTACAGATGCGTTGCCAATCCCGAGATCTAATATGAAATACGTTACATCCAGATTATATGTACTACGATTATATACTCAGTTTCGATTTCAAAGAAAACTCTTAAAAAAACGTAAGTTTTAAACTCTACGAGTAAACACGAAGGTGCTATTGTCATAAGTACAAGTACAAACCTCTTGACCCACTTCACTCTAACCTTTTTTTTATAGAATAAAAGTGACAAACAAGCACACAATCAACCTAACCTGGTAGTAAGTGATTGCTGTGGCTCATAGACAATACATTTATCTTCGATTAAGAATTAAAATTCAGATGCGTTGTCACCCCTGAGGACTATGATGGAATGCCACGTTTCCAGTAAAAAGGGTCTCCGGTTTTCTACACTCACCATACGAAACACAGGAGCATTGAGCTGCTATTTTACAGCGGTGTCCTACTCCATTGGAGCCGACCCATGCGTGCTACAACCATAATATAGCTGCAGCGTGGCTCTACCACCTAATATGACCACTATCGTTTTGCACTTAATACATTATATTATGCTATGTTCTATATTATGGATTTCTACCTAGACACAACAATCATTCACAGCTAAACGACGAGTCTCCCACTTAGATAATTTTACAAAAGGTATTTTGCCATACTTAACAGGTTACCTCCATACATCATAATATATATTTTTAATTTATAGATTGCTTTTATTTGTTATTCATCACACATTCTTGTATCGAATTCCAATAATAATACCGCCTTTATTCAATCCACAACAAGACATTCGCGTGTACATACTTCGAATGTAAGGTTTCCTACCTATAATAGGGATGGCTTCACATTTCTTTAAATAGGCCTTAAATTATTATTTAAGGTTGTTCATATTCAATATATTATCTTAACAGTCACGGTAACCCAAGTAACGGTGCTTATTTAAAATTTTTAGCTTAAGCGATCGGAACCTTAGTTCCGATGTTCCGATCAAAAGGTGTCAGTACAAACTTTAAATGCTGATTTTCTATTAATATTGGTATAACAAGCGAGCGGTGAGTAGCCCATGGGCAACTTCAATTAACTTCAAATAAGACTACAAATGTGTTTTCATCCTTAAAATCTTACATGGTATACCTGAGTCTATAAATATACTGGCTATCCTACCCTTTAAAGCAGAACACTTACTCCGACGCATATTCAGACAAGAAAAAAGCTAAATCGTTCATTCATTAAATTGGTTGACTGATTAGTCACGTGCGAAAACAAATAAATGGAAATAATCGCTTTAGCATGACATTTATGGCAGTTTTTCCTCATTTTAAAATAAAATACAAATCTATTTGCAAGCGGTCTGTGATGATAAACAAGATTGAAAGCAAGAAAAGAAAAACATTTTTTACTTATTTTATGCCAGTGTTTATTATTATTATAATAGAGTTGCACTGTTAAAATTATTGTTTTTTTTAAATAAAGCTTATTTTACTAACTTTATCGCGATAATTTTAACTTTTTTTATTCGTAAGATCGGATTAAATATAAATAAACTTAGCAAGCTAACAGCATAGCAAAGTGGCGAAGCAATCAGCTTTGTAGCGGTTTCTAACGGTTGCCGTTGAGCAATCAGTTTCAAAATAGGAGGTTCAGATGCCTGGGTGATCAGTAATCGATTGCTGAAAACAGAATTTGAAAATTCGAAACCGTTCTCGAGATAATCGTGGGACAGACGGACAGACGGACAGACGGACAGACGGACAGACGGACAGACGGACAGACGGACAGACGGACAGACATCGTGAAATCAATAAGTGACTTCGCAAGTTTCGCCACTTAATAATTAAAAGCTGAAATTAGCTTAAGTTAACTATGACGTCAGGACGTTTAACACCTCATTCTCGTTATAAGTATGCACTGCAAAGCGCTCGAAATAACAAGATTTAAAGACAATTCAAAATGAAACGCGAGAAAATCCGTAAAATTAGTTTTGCGTAGCATATATTAATAAAAGATATCATGGTGAGGAAGCCTGCGTATTTATCACATTAAATATATTTAGTGAATACTCCGAACATAAATAAAATTACTTGTTTGTAATAATCGATCGCGTCAGAATTGTTTAATCTTAATAAATTTTAAATATACAATTATTAGTTAATCTGTGAATCACGTGCTACATTGCAGAAATCCATAATGTTGAAAATTTGAAAATTAACTGGCAATTAATTACAATTATTTTATTTCTCAATTTTCATGATTTCTTTCTGAACGATCCTCTTACTAAATAAGGATTGTAATTTGCGTCTTTCCATAAAAATAAAAAAACAAACACAATAAAGAGATAAAGTAAAAAAATCTCTTTATCTTTCGCAATATTTACGTACTACTTAACATTTTACGAAACACGACATGATTCCAAGAAATATTTTGCAGTGCCTACTCATCACCAGAAAGTAATCATTATGGTAAGCAATTTCCTTTGACGCCAAAATCTTAACTACTACGTAATTAACTATTGAGATTAGTAGCAGCAGAACTTTAAGTAATTCCAGTAACGTTTCATAGCCTGCGTCAACTTGCTAAGAATTTTCAAGTCTATGTTAATTATACAACTTTTGAATGTTAAATTATTTGAGAGCATAATAACATCTCTGGATATTAACATTTAATTAAAATTGAAGGCTGGTTAAGTGTTTAAAACATTTAGGTTATGATTAATACTAGCGCACTTGTTAAAGACGAGAAGACGAACGTGTGTCATAAGGTCCAAGTTACTGCTATATAAACCAGGAGTCTTATGTACGAAAACCGGTTAAAGAGCTATTCTTTTTTGTCAACAAATGTCGACAAATGTTGGCTTTAACACAGCGTGTAGGAGTTTTACATACATTAGTTGCAAATTGACAAATATCCAGACTAGAAACAATAATTTCTAGGCCGAACGAACACTTGGTTCGTGCGGGATGCTAACCCGAGGCCCTACAGCGCAGCGCCACAAAAAACTGTGCTATCGAGCCGTGTTTCAGCGTATGCATTTGTAACACATCAATATCTCCTATACACTGATGCGATTAACAAATGAGGGAGTATTAATAATTACAAATATGTGTAGGAAATAATTAAAAAACATTATAATGCAGCAACACAAGTTTTTTTTAATAATAATTCGATTCTTATCCTAATGAAACTATTTCACACTTTTTTTCCTTTTATTTTGAACTACTTAAACCGTTTTTAAGCAAACATATTATTCCACTTGTTCTCTTCGCAGTTAATTCTTTTTATTCTCACTTCTGTTCGCTGCTCGCTTCGCGCGTCAAGATTAGAAAGGTTTCCATCGTATGAGCATAATATTATTATTCCTTACAGCCCCTCAGAGCTCAGGGCGAGCTATTACTCATCTTTTTCCCGCGTCGAGGGCTCGTTTTTATTGCTAGACGTGAAAAATACCAGAAATTTCATCCAGTCCGCTCAAAGTGGTTGGATTAATTCAGAAGGCACTTATTTCAAATTGGATTTCGCTCGCGTCGCGACTGTCGTCGTCGTCTTCATTTCCTTTTAATAGTGTCACAGGCAACCACTCGTACGGTCTTCTGCTGATGTCAATAATATGTTCGGCGATAGTGAAGTTAGTTTAGTTAATGGAGGTAACGTTTTTAAATCAATAAATAAAGTATTATACGTGGTAAAGCCATGCTGCAGCTATATTAGTATTATAGTTGTAGCACGAATGGGTCGTCTCGACCGGGGCAGGACCACGCTTTCACAGAATACCAGCGTAAAATAGCAGCTTAATGCTGCTGTGTTTCATATGGTGAGTGTAGAGAACCGAGGACCCTTTTTACTGGAATGTAGGCATACCACCTTCCTCACGGGTAACAACGCATTTAAGTTTTGATTCGTAATCGAGTATAGATGTAGATGTATATGGGCCACAGCAACCACTTGCCGTCAGGTAGAATGTGTGCCCGTTTGTCAACCTTATCCTATATAAAAAAAAGTTTGAAAAATATCACAAATAACTTTCTGACATGATATAATCTTAAAGTCAAATATATATCTCATCAACTTCTTCATCTTTCCAGCATATCACAAGTACACTACTGAACATAGGCATCCTCCAAGTAATCCATCGACTTCCTGTCGCTCTTGCTACGTCATAACTCTGTAAGGACTGCCCTACACTTCGCTTACCGGTACGAGGCTGCCACACGGAAACCTTTCTCCATCATCGGTTTTCGATTTATATGACACGTTCTATATAGCACGACATATCTACTCAGACTTAAATTAATATTTATCAAAGAATTACACATATTTACCGAAAAAACAATGGCAGTAAAATAGTTGACAAAAATTATTGCGTCTAGAAAATATTCAATAACGTTTTTTTCGTTGTAAGTTTTCACCGTATTATGTATTGAAATTACCAGTTTCCTTATCGCGTAGTGACATTATGGGCCGTAATTACACATCGAATTCCAAAATGTCTATAATAACAATGGCCGAATAGCATTACCTCTAAACATTAAGGAGGCATGTCAATAGCGTTGACCTGTATTCCGAAGAAGCTCCCTTTAAAATAACAAACTATAGACAAGGCAAAGTTAAACAGCGCTGTGTTTACTCAAATGCTCGTAGGTGGCACTGGAAGGCGCGAATGTCTTAACGTTGCATCGGTGTTTTGAAAATACTATAGGTACGTGTTGTCGTACAGTGGTCGAAATTCGACCGTAATTTATTTTTATACTTTAAATATTAAGCAAGATATTTCACTTTCAACTGTACATTAATATTGAAATAGAAGGATATGAAATATCACAAAATTCACAGCTCATTCAGTCAATCAGTAATTATTTGTTGGCATCATTTTAAAACTCTTTGGTGCCAATCTTTATTCTGTGCGACTGTTTAAATACAGACTATTATATGTTTGACATTGGCAGTATACGTAAACAATGAATGTTTTTTATTTCATTTATTTGTAATTTTTTTTTGCTTCCTCCACTCCTTCTCCATAAACTACCATAAACTTTAACTATACCAAATTTCACTCTCCTCCGTGTGAACAACATGTTTAAAAAGAGGTACAAAGTGTTCTGCTCGCGTATTAATATGTATATACTTTGAATGTATGTATAAGACTCTAGAACATAACAGCGTCAAGCCGATAAAAAATTTAAAGTAATCAATAATATAAAGTAATTTTGAAGCACTTGAACGTCATTATTATTATATTTATAGACTAGATTAGGTATCCAAGTAATTTATTTAACATATCATATGCATTTATTAATTCTTTACAGCCCACAGCGACTCCCTGCTTATCATACCAAGTCGTCAATAGTGCTAGATGAACAGCATAACATTCCATAAAATAACTTATTTTTAGAAAAACTTTTTTAATCTAAAATGTTACGACACCATATCTTTCACCCAACTAGAAGAAAAATATGTAGAAATTACTTTTTATATTGTCAAAATAAGAGTTATATATATAAAGCTTCAACTATCGTAACAAAGATAAACTGTCGTATAATAAAGTGTTTTCATTGTTTAGGCGTAAGCAAGCCTTTGTTAAGTCCACAGAATATGTTCCGTTCGAGAACGTGTGTCTCTATGTAAATGTTGCTCTCGATTTCCATTAAAATCGCGAACGTTACAAAAGCAATGTTGAAAGTTAAGCTTTGAATACTGTAAACTTTAATTGGGCGTGAAACAAGGCATCTCTTAAGTTGGCTCATTTAGTTACTGGTTAGTATTCATAACAAAACTAGATTTGAAAGTGGACGGTTTCTTAGCTTCGATATCTTTTACGGATGGTTCTAACGGACTTGAGTCATTAAGGTTTTATTCTTCTAATTCTTTTTAATACTCTTTACTAAATCGGTTACGTTGGTTCGGCAATTTCTTAGTAATTAGCGATAACCGCTAAGTCTTCATCGCAAATAGATTTAATCAAACAGATTGTTATATCTATTCTATTAAATAGATTAAAAATATATCTATTTATTAATTAAATATTTTATTGCAATCACCCTAAAGCTACGGATTAAACAGGTTGAATTTGACGCATGCTAATTGCAGACGTTACATACTTTCCTCTAACCTCTAAGGTCTTTATTTGTGCATGAGGTATAACACTTGTTCTAAGTATAGGCTGTATCTATGCACTCCAATACTTTTTCAAACAGGATTTTAACTGTTCTTTTAAAAATATAGAAATACTTGAGTCAAGTTTGATGCTTAAACATCATCAATAAAGCCAATCATCATGGGCACCACTACCACATATCTTCTAATATATATACACATTATATACAATACAATCTATAAAAAGTTCATTGCTTAATTCATTTATGAAATTCATTGTTACCACGCTCAGCAGGCGAGTTATCAACCGCAGTTTTCTGCACTGCCCATCTCCTGTTTAAATTGCACTCTGTTTTCCCTTACGACACCTACGGGATCAAATCCTCCACACAGTGGGAGAGTCCATCTCCAGCCGAGTACTTTTACATACTGATAAAGAAAAATAATATATTATACGCAAATGCATTCTGCAAAAATAGACAGCTATTTTATCATTAACTTTTATAACTTGTTATAACTAGAATATACAAATTATAATTTGTTGTAACTAGAATATAGAAGTTATAACTTCGTTATTAGAAAACAAATAGTCGGAGAATTATACTTGGAACTATACATTAAACACTTAAGTAAAACAATTTTTTTTTGGAAACCAGGCATTCTATTTTAACCTTTAGGGATGACAACGCATCTGCATTTTGATTCATAATCAAGGATGGATGAGGGTAGACAACCACATCAATATTTGATTTTGGTGAGTGGGCATTACGCATCATCTCTATATCATTAAGATGACTGTGTACTTGTTTGTCACCCTTATTTTTATTAAAAACACGTTAAAAAGCACCATTTTACTTTTATCAACAAAATCACTTGTCATAATAATTGCTATAATACATAATAACTGAAATTTCAAGTGATATTATTGATATTGACAGCAAAATGTTTCGGTTAAAAATACCGCATTTGTAAATAAACTGTTTCTACCTATATTCATTTTTAATTAAGACCATTATATTGTTCTGAAATAAGTGAAATGGGAAATGAGATATCATGCTACATTCATGCGAATTAATATTATATTTAATGTGTCCACGATTACATTTCCAAAACTGTTACTTTATAATTATTTGCATACAGGTGATATATCAAATGATGATAATATTACAAAACTGTATTGCATAATATAAGTTTGTCAATCTTTACGTTTATTAGTGATTGTTATCCCTGAGACACATAAGAATAACAATATAATATTAATAATTAAAATAATGTACCGAAATTATGCCTGTAGTCATTTCTGCGAACGGGTTAATCCCAGTCAGAATCTCGGGTCATGTGAGGCGACTGGGACCGCTCCAAGCTTAAATGCAGAAGGCGGTGCTCCTCAATACTGCCAGCATCGTCCGCCAGTTTGTTTCCCTTTCACCATGACCCTCGGCCGTCTGGTCTCCCCTGCCGAGGGCTTCCATCTGGTTGACTTTTTATTTATTGATGTATTGTTTATGTATTTATTTCCCTATATTAATATATGTATATTTATACATTTTCATTTATATATTTATACAGCCCAACCAGATGAGATAACTATTTCAATACCCCAAGAAAGTAATGAAAAAAAAATTTTGATCACAGCAGTCAATGGAGACTAGTTATCTCTGCAGGACAAGATAATATTGCCCGAGTGTGAGCGTAAACACAGGTGTACTCTCTATTTCCTCACTCGCATAGTGCGATGGAACGGTAATTTAACACAACCGGAGACCAAAGTCATTTGGCGCTTTCTGAGGCACGTGGGTGAAATTTCTCTAACTTCCTGATACGAAATTAGGGAAGCCCACTAAGAATTTATTTATAGATAAACCAAATAACAGACTTTAGCACGACTTAACGAACAATCGGATCCAAACCCAGGACCTCAAGATCCTTAGTCGCACTTAATACCAATAAACGAACAAGGCAATCATGACGATAGAATAAGTGGGAAAGATAATGAAACGTACCTCCGTTTCATTATCCTTCGTCTAGCTTAAAAATTATTACGTCATATTTTTTAATCAAATTAAAATTCATCCTTTTCTGTTACAGTGCATCCTCGGAGCGCACTGCGTACACCTGGCTTCCAGACACCAGGATAGAATTCTGCTCGCCATACAGTCGAAGAAAGAGTTCCAACTCCACCGTCTATGAGAGTGACTGATGGTGTGAGGGCTTCGATCAATTCGAAGAAGCGTTACTCTGAACAAACACGAAGTGCTACTGACAATCAAGTGACGCGTTGTTTTTAACTACAAGTTACTTCGACTAAATTAACTAATTAGTCTTCTATTGCAATATAAAATATTTATTGTATATACTGTTTTGAAAATGACATTATTTAGCAAGTAAGTGTTAAAACTATCCACTATATTTCATACAAAATCGCCACTCACTCTTTGACTCATCTTTTAACTCTACCTTAACGTATCCGTTAATTATTCATTCGATATTATGACGATTTCAGTCTTAAAGATTAAAATAATTTTATTTAAAAAAAAACCTTATAACCTTAAATTTGTCTTGCTAGTTTCTTCTGGATATAGAATAAAATTATTTGGCTAAAATTACCTATTATTTCCCCATTTACTTCGAGCCTGAAGAGCGCTTCGCTTCGCACAAGGACTCATGCATCATTTATGGGCAAAGTTTAATGATTAGTTGAATTTTAAAATGAAATTAACTCTCTAAAATATTCTTAATAGCTTTTCCATATTTTTGTTAATCAAGGTATTATTATAACTAAACCAATCAAGTAAGTAATTGGGTTGGCATTGGAATTTGGAATCTATTTCACAGTATGTTGAGGAAGAATAAATACAAATAAATGTAAATATTTTGTTTACTACTGTTTTATCATTAAGTTGTAATTAACACACCTACTAAGCTTATTAATAAGAAAATTATAATGATAATTAATACCACAGATAACACAGATCATAATTTTTTTATAATCTATGCCAGATAATAATAATCTTAAAAAAATAAACTATTCCGAAATTTTTGATTTGAATGAACCAATTTCTAAACTTATTATTTAACCATATTATTTAATAATAATAAGAGTATTATATTTAGTGACTTCTATCACTAATTACGTCTTGATATAATTTTAAAGTACTTAAATTAAAAATATCTTAAACTTATATCTAATCGAGTTTCCTTACTAACTAAATTAAGTAATTTATGTATTGTTGTAAGATATGACACAAATGTTTGTTATTACTAATGTCAATGGGTAGAAATAAAATGTATAGTTAGGTAATCGATTCGCTGTGATTGTTTAGTTTTACATCTACGTCCGCGCTAAGAATTTCTTGAAAATCATTCTATATCTCGTATCATTCTAATATAATGTATTTAATAATAGGTAGGTATAGATTGTATAATTTTTGTAGTTGGTAAGAATTATTTTTATATTAATCCTAGTCCCAGGTTTCAAGACACACGATTCCAGATCTTAATTATTGTACAAAATAATTAAAATATTATGTAAATAATAAATTAGTACATAAGTAAGAATTTGCTTTCGGGAACATTGTTTTTATCGATACGGTTACATTTTGTCATTAACTGTAAGTATATAGTTGAAGTTGAAATTGTTGGAGAATATAGAATTAACAAAGGACGTAAGATTTGTCACGGTGTTAAAGTATAACTATTTTGTAATCCACAGCATTTCTACCCTACGATTTGTTATTTAAATCTGTACCCTTAAGATTTTAAGAACTTATTTGTATATTAATCTCACCGCTAACTATCCTAACATTATATGTATTTTATAATCGTGCGGCAGTATTAGAACACAAGAACTTCACATTATTCTACTATTTAGACAGATGATTTAGTGATAATTAGAATAACAATAACTTTAAAGTTCTAACTACATATATCACGCGTTCTTAATTATTGGCATAAGAAATTAAAATTCCAGGAAAATAATTGTCTAGTTTGTGTTATAGGAGATTATAAAATAGTCAACTCATTTGTTTATGCCGCCGAAGCACGTAATATATAACTCCTTTGTAAATAATGCACAAATACATACACGTTATACCTAGATATAATTTAATTAATCTTCGGCATTGTTACTCTTTAATTTGTATTAAAATGTTTTTTCCTAATGAAGTGCTGTATTCTTGAATATTTTGTATAATTTTCAATAAAGTCGTAACTTAAAATTAGCTTTTAATCAACCATATATCAACACTAATGATTGTCTAACACGATCGCTTTTATAAAGGTGAGTATTAAGCAATATTTTAAAATTAAATAAATAATACGGGCACAGCTAGTATTAAATAGCCCGCGTATATAGGTTTTACTTAAAGAATTAGACGTTTAGATAAGAGAATATTAAACGATTTATACTATTACTGTATTAATAAGTGGTAACAAAATAAATAGTTATCTTTTAAGTTCTAAGTCGTTTATGATAGAGCTTCTCTGTAAACGACGTTAGAAGGCGACTTAGCCGGGGCGTACACAAAAAGGTTACGAGGCCTACTAACGCGGGAAAAAGCAACATACCTACTCGTAGAGTTGACCATGTGCAAAACAATACTGAGGTCCACTCCTGGAACGCGTAAAGTTTGACCTTGCGCTTTATTTACGGTCATCGCATAACATAACATACGCTGACTGGGAACTGAACACGCTTAAAACTGAAAGGAAAGTTATTTGGTATTAGAGGGATTCTGGCTATAAAAACAATATTGCGACATTTTGTTGCAATTTTGATACTTTTAATTGAGTTTCGTTGTATAGCTTGGATGGGCGTGTTTCTTCTCTGGTTTCTGGTGATGTTTGTGCTTTTAGCCTACACGGTTCTTTCAACTTCATCGTACTCGTGGGCACAAATTTCTTCAGTAAGTCTCACTACGATTCACCGGCGAAAAATTCAGAACAGACCGCAATTCAGAAAAGGTTGTAATTTGTACAACGCCATCTATTACGTTCTTTGTGAGAAAACATCCGTTTTTTAATTTAAGGAAAACGTATTTTTTTACTGTGTTTTATATATCATAATAGAACGTTTTTTTTACACATGAATCTTTTTATTACTACTTCTGAGATTTTATGCCGCCTTTAAACAGATTCGAACCTAGATTTCAAAATAATAATCATAACTTTCGATAGAATTAACCAATTTTAGTAAAACAAAGATTAAATGAACTCAATAATACGCTTTATGATTTTCTTAAGGATATAATTGAAAGAAAAGATGTTTACTCAAAACGTTATGCGTTCATAAACAAACAGACCGTCAGACAGTACAATTCTAAAAATTATAAAAATGTACTTATATAATGATTTTCAGTCCCCATAATGATTTTAGTCACAAACTAATATACTATACAATGTACAGAAACAGTCACAACATTCTATCACCATTTTTATTATAGATATGTATATGTATAGATTTAAAGAGAGATGGCGCTGTTAACATCAATTCTAAAAATAAGAGATTAATTGACGCGATTGCAACAATAAAAAACATAAAAGAACTTATAAATCAGTGCCTGCATAGTAACCAAAAAAGAAAGTTTGATCACGCAGTAGGGCAGCGTGTTATATAAAGATTGGAAGCAAATATTAAACTCATCTACAGGAAAGGGGTCATTGTAGAAGCGTGCTCGTCGCGACCCCTGCCCGCCCTTTTCAGGGCTGCAAATCTACACAGCTGCACCCATGCCAACGAGGGTTAGGGCGTCTCCCCGAGGCGACGTACACCAGCTCGTCCCAGTTGATGTGGAATGCAGCGCGTAAAGCGGCGATGGGGACCACCACCCGTCACGCACAGCCCGACACGGCGGAAGGTGGAGGACAGAGTGCAGAGTTGGTACGTAGAATGTTAGAGGAGGCATGAGAGATAAGACGAATGAGTTGATCTAAATAATGAAAGAAAGAGAATGAGATGTCGTGTGTATGTCGGAGACCAAACGGAAGAGCAGTGGTACTGAAGAGCTCCCTGGCGGGGCGTTAGCTCTATGGTCCGGAGTCCCGGAGAGCGAGAGCTCCTGCCATGGAGTGGGGGTGCTGCTGTCGTCTCGGTTGGTCGATGTTATGACTGAATATAAGGTTGTGAACTCAAGACTTCTCTGGGTTCGCTTTAAATTAGGACTGACGAAGTTATTCCTTTTGGCTGTTTATGCGCCGGTAGTTTCGTCGTCCAGGGCTGAGCTGGAGGAGTTTTGGGAGAATGTAAGAGAAGTTCTAGATTTGGTTAGGGGAAACGAAAGAATTGTTGTATGTGGTGATTTGAATGGATGGGTTGGTACCGCTCGAGTCGGTGCTTGGATAAAAGGGTTAATGATGCTGGCAAGCTTATACTGCCTGTATGCAAGGAAAGGGGTCTTCTTGTGACAAACACTATATTTAATCACAAGAAAATCCATATGTATACTAGAGAAAGAAAGAATGAGAGAAGTATGATCGATTTGTTCCTGGTGGATGACCGACTGCGAAAACAGGTGATCCATCACGCGAGTGTTCAGGGGTGCTGACCTGGGAATGGATCACTATCTAGTGATTACTAGATTTAGGGGTCTGTTCGCGGGCTGGCGCTACCGGACGGCAGTAACATAACCACAATCATTCTGTCGCATCCGAAGCTGGAAGCTTCAGGAAGCGGATACTAGGGACAAATATCATGCGAGGGTAGCCGAAAAGCTTGATACCATCGATGGCAGAAAAGAATGTGTGGAAAGAACATGGCAGAACCTTAGGGATGGAATGGTAAGTGCAGCGGAAGAAGTGTGTGGCACGATAAAAAGAGGTAGTAGTAAAAGCAGAGATGCATGGTGGAATGATGAAGTGAAAGAAGCTGTAAAGAAGAAGAAAGCATGGTTAGACTACTTGGCCTCTAGTAATGATAAGGATATGAGAGAGAAGATGAAAGAAAGATATAAGGTGCAGAAAGTTCACACGAAAGCATTGATTGAGGACGTGCGTGAAAGGTGTAGAATGGAAGCGGACGAAAGGTTGTCGCACAACTTTAAGGAGAACTCCAAACTCTTCTGGAAAGAGGTTGGAAGGACCTGGAGTGGTGCGACGGCCTTAAGAATGAACAAAGTGCTTTCGATAACCAATGACATCCTCTCAGAAAAATCGGACGTCATGCAGCGATGGAGCGAATTTTATAGAGAAATGTATGCGTGTGAT